TGAGAGCCGCCCCACCAAGTGTTCACTGTATCCAGGAAGACAAATATCGATCCAGATTAAATGAACAATAAGCAGGAAAACATCTTCCACCATACACAGAAGGTAAAAGATACTATACTCAAAATGCAAAGAATATCTAGAGAGCAATTTTTACAAGCACTAAGACGAAAAGCAGAAACAAAGCCAATAAACATGAAAAATATATATATCCAACCTATCAGTATAGGTACAAAGACACGTACGTAAAAGCATAGAAAATAATCTAAAATCACACAAGAAATTTTAACAAGGGCTAAAAGGTGGGAGGTGAGAAAAGGGAACTCTCACCACTTCTTAGCCCATATATTCCTGTAGTATCTTAAGTTTTACAAAACGAATATATTCGGGGCACCTGGGTGGCTCAGTCGGTTGGGCGTCTGCCTTCGGCTCAGGTCCTGACCTCAGGGTCCTGGGATCGGGCCCACGGCAGGCTCCCTGCTCAGCGGGGAGTCTGCTGCTCCCCCTGCTTGTGCTCCCTCTCTCGCTGACAATAAATCTTTAAACTATATATATATATTCTATTTAAAAAGATGCTTAAAATTTTAAGGAAATTATTAATGTCCAAAATGACATAACGTCAAGGATATTAAAACACAAATGGAAAAAAACTCCCCGTGATCTTCAGAGTCTCCTACCATCTTTCTAATAGTTTACTGTGTCTACTTCATTCTGCAGCGAGACGTTAACTCGGCTGGAACTGAGGTTTGTGTGAGGCGTGCAGCGGAAGCGGCCTCTCCCCCGTTCCGGTGGGAGACCACGCAGTGAGTAGTCGTGGCTCTCCCAGTGGATGTGAAATGCCTCCCTTCTCATGGGCTAAACCCTCACAGCTACAAACGCCCCTCGAGCGCCCCGGAGTGAAGTAAGTTTCCAACCGGGGCAACCTCTCTACAAAGTACAGAGCCTCCTCTCGAGACACCTGGGCGCCTGCGACACACAGAAGCACTCAGGGACCGTCAGCCACGCGGCACGAAACCCGTCCCAACGACCAGGCAGTGTGGGAGCGCGAGGCTCTGGTACTGACCGCGGCTGAAGGGCAGTAGGCTGCTCAGGTAGGGGAAGCTCACTCTTCTCAGCTCGTCCAGCTTCTCCTGCAGCTTGCGCACCTGGCTGTCGGAGCGGCTGACCCTCTGCCGCAGGGTCTTCAGCTCGCCGTTTTTCTTCTCCACCTGCTCCCGCAGGCAGCACACCTGGCTCTTGTTCTGTCGGGAGGAGAAGCAGTAGGAGTGCAGCGAGTCGATGAGTTTACAGGCCCCCGACGCCGACAGGATGACCTCGTTGATGGACATGGGGCTAGCGTCACTGTGCTCACTCTGCACGGCTTCGGCCGCTGGCTTCGGGGTGACGTCTGTCGGAGGAGCAGAGGGGCTCTGGGAGGGCTTCTGAGGCGTCGCTGTGAGTGATGAACTCGGGGGGCTCTGGGCCAAGCCCTTGTCGGGCCCCAGGCTGGTCCCGCTGCAGCCGGGCTCCACATCTCTCTTCAGCCTCTTTCGGTCAACAGGCTCTCGGGGCACAGATGCCCTCTCTCGAGTGTGCTTGGAGGAGAAACTGTAAGAATGAAGTGAGCCAATAAACTTGCAAGCCCCAGACCCTGGCGGGGTAAAGTCATCCATGGAAATGCCGCTCTTATCCGCCAGGTCGCCGCGGTTGGGGGCGGCGCTCTCACCACCAGCGTCCACAGCTGCTCCCTGGCTGCCTGCCGCGGCTGTGGCCAGACCATCGCCTGTAGTTCCCTCCGGGGCCTGCCACGTGTGCTCCGGACTGGTGGCTTCCTGGGAGGCCCTGGGCGCAGTTTCATTCTGCAGTGCAACCTGCTTCACCTTCCGGGACCCTGGCTTGGCCATCAGGTTTTCACCCGAGGACGATGATGAACCTGTAGCTCCTTTCCCGTCCGCCCCGCTCGCGTGTCCCCTCAGGCCCCCCGACGCCTTTCTGGTGACCTTTCTCCTCGTGCGGCCATGACCTCCGCTGCCCCTCTTCTTCTCGGGCAGGTGGAAGATGGAGGGCACCGCTGTGGGCTTGAGCAGACGATGCTGATCCTCCAGCCTTTTGGAGAAGCTGTCTTTGGTGAAGTGTTCACTACAGAGGAAAGAATACTTAGTGGGGGTCCAGTTATCCCTCTGAACAGCTTTTAACCACTGGATCAGACGTTTTGAGTCCTTTAGGGGGAACCTGCAGGAAAAATGACAACAGAATTAGAAAGAAGTAACTACATGTCTCCTCCCAAATTTATCAACTATAATAAGGCAAAACAAGTGTTTCTGCAAATACCCAATCCTGTATTGACTTTACCCGTTTAAAATTTTAGTAAAAGAGCGCCTGGGTGGCTCAGTCGGTTAAGCGACTGCCTTTGGCTCAGGTCATG